TGCTTTTTGTTAAAGTTGATAACAGCCATGTTGCCTTGGTTGTGTGTGTGCAAGCGAGCTGATTTTTGTGTATTAGTGTGAGTGCGCGCATATGTATGTGTGTGAGTAACACAACCACCTAGCACCTAGTGCAAAAGAGCGAGTGCGAGTAAGAGAGTGCGACTAGGAATACACTGAACAAAAAAATCGTACTTTTTTAAATGTGCTATTCCAGCAAATTTATTAAAACTGATGATGTATTATTTAAAAATAAACTCAAATTATTTAGATTTCATGTGTCATTATTTAAACATTTTGATCAAATTTAAAGAAGAGAAATGCTTGTTAAAAATTCTAAATTTAGTTCCTTAAAATTGTTGCCTTATTCTTTGTAGTGCATTAAGATTCATTCATTTTCTAGGACATGCCTTCTGATACATGCACATATATACACATGGCATGCACACATATACATGTGTAGTTGTATGTGTGCGTATGTGTGCCTGGGAGAGCGACACAGCACAGCATTGGCTGCGTGTAGACTTTGTGGATTGTGTTTCCAAAGCTACATAGATTTTCATGTGCGTGCTCAGCAAGGACTCTCGCGCAAGGAGCAGAGCGGCGCAATTTTCGAGGCTGAGCTAACTGGAGTCAATGAAACTTCTTTGTTGCACGCTCCGCGCCTTTCAAAATGAAATCAAAGTGGGATATTTAAAGCCTCATTAATCAGACGCAAGCTATCCACCAGAAGAAACCCCCAGCTTCGCAGCGAAGCCGAGGTGTCGAGTGGCCCACAGCTCGGGGCCCACAACTTGAGTGCGTTAATGCGCTCATTAAGTTCAAATTTGTTTCATTGATAATTACACGATGCTCGAATCAGAGGTTTTATTTTCGAAAAAAAAGAAAAACAATATAATATTTTTATTTAATAAATCTATCTAAATACTATGTGTTTATAAAGTATATAAGTAGAGCTTGGCCCTCAACGTATTATTTTTCTAGCCAAGAAACTATGGATTGCTTTATTCGATCCATTGTCGTATATATTAAAACTCTCATTGTTCATGGCAATTTCGCACAACTCATTTGGTACAAAGTTGAAATATAAATTCCAAACTTTGTGTCTTTAGTAAATTTCGTATCCTCTGTATAATCATTTCCTATGCCTAATGCTCTCCTAAAATGCAATAACTACACACTACGATTAGAATCCTTTTTTGCTTGTTCATATTACCGATATGTACGGTAGCTATATTAGCTATGTTCTAAATAATTTAATTTAATTTTTCAACTTTCTTGTATATTATTGTTTACATAGTTTATTTTATAATTCATAAAACACAAATATTTGAAAATAATATTTGATTCATAAAAAATTATGTCTTAAGATCGAAAAAATCGAAGAAATTGTTAGCCTTCAGCAAAGATATCTGCAAAGTTACAAAAAACCATTTGCAGTTCTAAGTAAAATAGAAGAAATAAAAAAAAAAAACTAGCATCAGGCAAAGAAAATTGTTGTTCTATTGTTTAGTAAGTTTCATAATTTATGACCCATATTTCCTGCAGTTTATTGATATTTGGCAATTCTACCTGAATTTAAAAATTTTGCAGTAGCCAACGGTCCGCAGGCAGGGACAACCTTGATAGATGCCATAGAGTTGTACAGTCGGAGAAATGCAACTGGTCGATTTCTCCTTGACGCGACGTCATGGAACAGTTTTGAAAATATATTTGACTCTGGTTTCTAATTATATCAATATTTGCATTTATTTAGTTGATTAACACGAATGTTTCTCGCACAATAACTAGTTCGGTTTGTATTTATTGTTGCAGCACTTCAGCTGAAGCAATTTGATGATTTGTCGTAATGAATGCTAATTAAACGCATTCGTTTTCTAGTTCATTTGGTAGCCAAACAGCATCTGAATCTCTTGCCCCTTCTCGGCTATCTAACTCTAGTGACTGTCTATGTATTCGTTCAACTTGAATGTTTCTCGGATGGCCAGGGCAGCAAAGTGTGTCAAAATTCTTAGGCGTATCCATGAAACAAAACCTTCCTCACATAGCCAGTCGAGCTGTGTGGCTGGTTATGTGCTCTAGCTTAGCAAACAGAGAGATACCCACTCACATACACACACGTACACATATACACGGTGCTACATAGCTGGGTATATAGCAAACATAGATACAGATAGTAGATATGCAGGGCCGGCCACAGATAGAGATAGCAATGTTCGAGCATGTTTCACACAATTTGGGTATATCCACGGCTCGAAACGTAAATGGAAAAGCAAATAAAAGGTGCTAATTTCATGAGGGTTCAATTAGACGTTTGGCTGCTGTACGATTTCTTTTTGAACTGTTATTTCTTTTTGTAGGTCGAGACTCTAGTTTAAATAAAAAAAACACTTCACAGCTTCAACATAATCGAATAATTTATTAAACAGTACACTCCTGCAGGTGATTTTTAAGCATTATATAAATATATATATATATATATATATATATATATATATATATATATATATATATATATATATATATATATATATATATATATATATATATATATATATATATATATATATATTAATTTAATTTTTTATTAAAAAATAAACCAAAAAAATCAGCTCGCCCGAGCAGGGACTTGAACCCTGGACCCTTGGATTAAAAGTCCAATGCTCTACCGACTGAGCTACCCGGGCAATTGCTTTGAGAGTGCCAAAAAGCCTTTACACTCTTGCTATCAAAAAGCTCATTCAGAGAATTAATGCTTGAAAGCTTTAAAGAACCGGAAAAAGCTTATTGCTGTATCAGAGCGTAATTTTCTAAACAAGTTTAATATTCAACAATTTATATTTCTATCTTTTTTTTTAGCTATGGCATTATGGCAAAATAGTTCATTGATATTTTAAAAAAGAATATTGAGATCGGACTGCAAAAAGATTGTGGTCCAACAATTGGCAAGGCTGGTAATGGCAGACCACTCCGGTACGCTATCCCACTACTGCCTACCACGGGAACTCTTGGCTGCTGGTTTTCACCCCTGGCCCGGTTCATCCCTCCTTAGCCAACCTGAATGCCGTGGACTCCTCCTCGGCACCCATATTGATGGCAAGCTTAGTGCGGACGTTCCGTCAACATGGCTGGTCCACTACACAGTGATCCCCAGCCTCAGGCCATCCCACAATCAGACCTCACAGAAGCGTGATTACAGAAGATGCCAACCTTCCAGTCGAAAGTTTCGTTTCTACAAACGCATTTTATGTCACATTGCTCACTGAACTGAACTGCACTGCTTTACCAATCAACTGCTTTCATCAAAAACTACTTTCTAACTGAGGCTATTTCGTTAAGAGTTCGATGGTTTGCATGGGTTGAATATTAATGAGATTTGTGATTCAGCTAAAAAATAATAATATATCTCAAACGCATAAAAACGGGTATATAATCTCCAGTGACACGTACCATACTGCTTGGCTAACACTGCTTTTCAAAAAAAATTTATATTCAGTATTGAACTGCTTTAAATACAATGTACGGTTCAAATAGTTATCTCTTTAGATTAAAAGTATATTGTTAATCATTTGTATTTCCTATAAAAATAATAGTAAAATATTTGTTATTACTTTTGCTAATTATTAGAAAAAAGAAAAAATAAGATCGCCCGAGCAGGGACTTGAACCCTGGACCCTTGGATTAAAAGTCCAATGCTCTACCGACTGAGCTACCCGGGCATTCTACCGGCCGTTGCCGAAATCCAATCAAAGCTGTTGGATCCTGGAATGTCTACAGGAATATTAAAATAAAATCATAAATAATATAATAAATTTAAAAATACTGAAACAAAACAAATAGTAATTGAAAAAAAAAAAAACAAACAAATGTTTGATGAATCTAAATAGTTTTTTTGAAGATTAGAATAAATCAAATATAGAATGAATTTTTACCTAAAACCAAAGTTTTATTTTTTTATTTAATTATTGATCTTATGAGTTTAATATAATGTTTTATAGTTAATATTTAAACAAATAATTTTAAGAATCATCTTCAGTTGTAGCGAGTTGGGATAGTTGAGAACGAGGAGTTCTTCCATATTCCATTCTACATGGAGTATACAAATTGAAATAGATAGTATACAAATTGGGTAGTATAAAGAATATATAATGAACATAAATTGAGTTAATACCGTTTATATATGGACTTAAGCATGCTCTTTGTAGGGACTGCTATAAGAAATAATAGCACGCCTTGAGCACTAGGTACGAGGTCTAGAAACATTGCAACGTTTTGAATAATAATTGCATCAGTTGTAGTTACAATTTGGGCGGTTATAATTTCCATGAACCACAAACCGCCTGTTATAGCGAATAATCTGATTGACTGCGCGAAACTGAAATGAAAATGGGAAATAATACATACATAATATTGTAGCAGGCTACTAGCCTATGTATACTGTAGCTGGTTACTAGCCTATGTTATATTAGATTTAAGTTAACAGCATTATGGTTAACCATCGATAGATACACATCTATCGATAGTTAACCATATTGGTGGCTGAGGAGGCTGTCGATATGCAACATGCCATTTTGAGTAATAGAAAGAGGAGGATCGATACATTTTAAGCTTGAATGTGAACAATAGCAGACGTGTGTATATCAAGAAATTATGAAATAAAGAAATTAAACAAAAGGCCTACTACAATCTCAGAAGTGGGATAAAGTACACTAATTTTTCAAATTAAATAAAATGAATTTAAGCATAAATGAAATTAAGCATAGACGAAGTATCTGTGGTGCAGTTAAAGAAGTGGCTAGCTGCATTGGGCTTGTCGACTCAAGGGTGCAAGACTGAACTTGTCGCTCGCCTCAATGGCGTGCCCGCAAATTTGCGCGGCAGCGCCCCCGAAGTGGAACAGGGAGAGGAGGAGTCAGATCAAACTGGAGTATCGCAGACAGTGCAAATGCAACAGGAGGAAATAGACAGGAATGAAAATATTTTGCGAGAGCTAAGTGAGCAGATCGACGCAGCAAAGAAGCAGCTAAAAAATTTTCACACACGACAATTGGACAGAGACGGCAATAGCAATTGGAAACAATTTCGTAAGGTTAATCAGTATACATTTTAAGTCCAAAGATAATGCCTCCATTATTGCAGAATGCCTCATAGATTCAGGAAGTCCTATTTCGTTTATTAAAAAATCGTGTGTCCCAGTTGGAATAAAACTTAAAGCACACGCAGAAAATTACTTTGGGCTAAATGAAAGCCAGTTAAATGTGATTGGAAAAACATTTGTTCATATTTTCAAGAAGTTTGAGAAAATAAATTTTTGGTTAATAGTTGTCCCTGATGAATCTATGAGGTCTGAACTAATTTTAGGGAGAGATTTCATGGAAGCTTGCAATTTATATGTTGACCCAATCGCCTTGAGAATGATTTCAGTGGAAAGAGCAGCTGGCACGTTAGATAAATCGTTAGAAAATACATTGTTAGGAAACACATCGTTAGATAAATCGTTAGAAAATACATTGTTAGGAAACACATCGTTAGATAAATCGTTAGAAAATACATTGTTAGGAAACACATCGTTAGATAAATCGTTAGAAAATACATTGTTAGGAAACACATCGTTAGATAAATCGTTAGAAAATACATTGTTAGGAAACACATCGTTAGATAAATCGTTAGAAAATACATTGTTAGGAAACACATCGTTAGATAAATCGTTAGAAAATACATTGTTAGGAAACACATCGTTAGATAAATCGTTAGAAAATACATTCTTAGGAAACACATCATTAGATAAATCGTTAGAAAATACATTCTTAGGAACCACATCATTAGATAAATCGTTAGAAAATACATTAGTAAATAAAGTGTTAGAAAATGAAGAATTAGGAAAGAAGTTAGTAAATAAAGTGTTAGAAAATGAAGAATTAGGAAAGAAGTTAGTAAGTAAAGTGTTAGAAAATGAAGAATTAGGAAAGAAGTTAGTAAGTAAAGTGTTAGAAAATGAAGAATTAGGAGAGAAGTTAGTAAGTAAATTGTTAGAAAATAAAGAATTAGGAAGGAAGTTAGTAAATAAAGTGTTAGGAAACAAAGACTTAGAAGAGAAATTGTTAGACAAATGGTCAAATAATAAAGAATTAGAAGAAAAATTATTAGACAAAGAAGAGATCGATAGGTCAAAAGAGTGTTTAGAAAAGTCAATGGAAATAAATAGCAAAAGCGTTTTTGACGATAATTTTGAAAACAGCATGCTTCAAATTAATGTGGTAGACGGAGACAATGAAAAAGAGATATATATTATCGGTGAAAATATTAGTTATGATGTGCGGAAAAAACTAATTAGATTGCTGAAAGTGGAATATGTAGATGCTGAAAGGCCAGTGAAACCTAAAAAGAAATGCGAAATGAATATACGAATTGAGAAAGCAAAACCGTTTAGCTGTTCACCAAGAAGGTTATCATACACTGAAAAGGAAAAATTACAGATAATGTTAGACGAATACCTTAGAAATGGCATCATACAACCTAGTTGCTCAGAGTATGCTTCACCAATAGTATTAGTAAAGAAAAAAACAGGAGATTTAAGAATGTGCGTTGATTTTAGAAAACTCAACAAGATCATGATCAAAGACAATTATCCTTTGCCGTTGATTGATGATTTGTTAGACAGACTAGTGGGGAAGTCTATTTTCACGAAGCTTGACCTGAAGAATGGATATTTTCATGTTTTTGTAGAGAAAGAGTCAGTAAAATACACATCGTTTGTTACGCCGTTAGGACAGTTTGAGTTCTTGAGAATGCCTATGGGATTAAAAACAGCTCCGCAAATTTTTCAGAGGTTCGTTAATGATATATTTGCAGATTTAATAAAGGAAAGCAAGGTAATTGTATATATGGATGATATAATGATTGCCAGCAAAGATGTGTCCGAGCATCTTAAGATACTAGAAGAGGTTTTAAAACGATTAGTAGAGAACAAATTAGAGTTGAGGCTGGATAAATGTGAATTTTTGCAGAACAAGGTTAAATATTTAGGATTTGTAATATCAGAAGATGGCATTAGAGCAGATGATAAGGGATTAGAAGCGGTAAAGAATTTCCCAATACCTAATAAAGTTCAGGCGGTGCAAAGTTTTCTCGGGTTGTGCTCATATTTTAGAAGATTTATAAAAGACTTTTCAACTCTGGCAAAACCGTTGTATGACTTATTGCGGAAAGATAGAAAATTTCAATTTGAAGAAAAGGAACTAAATTGTTTTTTATGCTTGAAGGAGAAATTGTTAGAGGCACCAGTATTAGCGTTGTATAATCATAAAGATGACGTAGAATTGCATTGTGATGCCAGTGCAATGGGATTTGGAGCAGTGCTTTTACAAAAGAAAGAAGACGGAAAGCTGCATCCTGTATTTTATTTTTCAAAGCGAACGACAGAAACGGAAGCAAAATATCATAGTTTTGAACTGGAAACTTTAGCCATTATTAATGCACTTAGGAGATTTAGAATATATTTGCAAGGCAGAAAATTTAAAATAGTAACGGATTGTAATTCTTTAACTTTAACTTTGAATAAAATAGATCTTAACCCTAGAATTGCAAGATGGGCATTGGAAATGCAAGAATTTGATTATGAATTAGTGCACAGGGCTGGAAGTCAAATGCAGCATGTAGATGCATTAAGTAGATATAATAATACCATTATGGTAACAGAAGCAAATAGTTTTGAGACTAATTTAATTATTTGCCAGACGAAAGATGCAAAGTTACAAGAAATTAGAAAATTGTTAGAGAAACAAGAGCATAAATTATTTGAAATGAGAAATGGTGTTATATTTAGGAAGACAAATGATGATAGACTACTATTTTATGTACCAGAAAAGATGGAAGAACATGTATTGTACAAATATCACAATGAATTAGGGCACGTTGGAAGGGACAAGATGCTTAATGCAATAAGTAAATCATATTGGTTTCCCAATATGAAAAAGAAAATTTTAGAACATATTGAAAATTGTTTGCAATGCATAGCATTCTCGCCTAGAACGGGCAAAGCAGAAGGGTTGCTGCATAGCATTCCAAAGGGGAATAAACCGTTCCAAATAATTCATATTGACCATTATGGACCAGTGGATAACGGCAGATCAAAGAAATACATTTTTGCAGTAGTAGATGGGTTTACAAAGTTTGTCAGATTATTCACTACTAAAACAACAAGCACTAGGGAAGTTGTAAAGGCATTGAGAGAATATTTTAGAACATACAGTAAGCCAGAATGTATTATATCAGATAGAGGAAGTTGTTTTACGTCAACGGAGTTTGACCAATTTTTAGAAGAAGCAAAGGTAAAGCATATTAGGATTGCAACGGGATCGCCACAAGCGAATGGTCAGGTGGAGCGAATAAACAGAAGTTTAGGTCCGATGATAGCTAAACTAATAGAAGGTGATAATGGACAGCATTGGGATTCAATAAGTGAGAGGGTGGAATATGTTTTGAATAACACTCAACATTGTAGCACCAAGCAATTGCCAAGCGTAATGTTATTCGGAATAGCGCAAAAAGGGGAAATTAGTGATAGTTTAGGAGAGCAATTAGAGAAAATAATAGGATTAGATATATGCAGTTCACAGAATTTAGAAGATATTAGAGAACAAGCACAACATTATCAATCTGCAGCACAAACACGGAATGAAGAGAACTTTAATAATGCTAGGAAAGCTGCAAAAGTATACAAGCCAGGAGATTATGTAATGGTTAAGAATTTTGACAACACGGTGGGAATATCAAGGAAATTAATACCTAAATCCAAAGGACCATATGTCATAGATAAAGTACTGAAGAACGATAGGTATTTGATAAAAGACGTTGACGGTTTCCAATTATCCAGGAATCCTTATCAAGGTGTTTGGAGTGCAAGCAATATAAGACATTGGATAAAAGCATAAGAGAGATAATAACTTATATTTTAGATATTAATTTCATAACTAGTGTGTAACATTTAATTAATAATTTAATTTTTATAACATGTAAATAGAATATCGGTAAGAATTTTTTTTTGTATCAAACATGTAAACACAATATTATTTTTAGGAAGTTAAGTATCAAATATTATATAAAATTAACAGAGATAGAGGGCTATCTCAGAGTCAGGATGGCCGAATTGTAGCAGGCTACTAGCCTATGTATACTGTAGCTGGTTACTAGCCTATGTTATATTAGATTTAAGTTAACAGCATTATGGTTAACCATCGATAGATACACATCTATCGATAGTTAACCATATTGGTGGCTGAGGAGGCTGTCGATATGCAACATGCCATTTTGAGTAATAGAAAGAGGAGGATCGATACATTTTAAGCTTGAATGTGAACAATAGCAGACGTGTGTATATCAAGAAATTATGAAATAAAGAAATTAAACAAAAGGCCTACTACAATATTATTATTATTATTATTATTATTTATTTTTTTATTTTGTTTGCTTAGTCTCTAGACATACTTAGCGCGACTATTCACATTTCTCTTACTCTCGGAAGTGCGCCAATTGCGTTCGTTTTGCTTATTTTCCACATATATTATTTTTGCTGTCGCTACGAAGAGCCCAATGTTAATTAGAATGGCAACCAATATAGGAGAAATAAAATAGATAATTCCTGATACATCAATCACTAAAAAAAAACTTCAATTAAGACATGTAATATATTATATGAATAAATAGTGTTTACTTTTAATCAAACAATTATATACTCCCACTTCTGGTTTTAAATGGTTAGGAACATCTTTAGGTAAGTATCGATCAGCCCCCACGAAAACAGAAAGTAATATAGCAGCTATGCTCCAAACGATGATACTATGTTTCATGAATCTGGATTCCTCCCCAATTTCAAGACTCTTAAAGTTCTTCCATAGTGTCAAGTTGATCATGATGAGCCACAGGAAGGTGGCCATAACGAAAAACAGTGTACGTAGGCTAATATTTAAGGTAATATCAATGTGTCAATATGCAAAGCTAATGAAATTTGTGACATTACCAAGTGCAAGGCACGATTTAAAGGTGAAGTCATCGGGGATTTTGAGAACCGATTCGATAAACGCCTAGAAAAAGCTAATAGTTAGGGAAGTGAAGTAACACATGTAACATCGATTGTACATCGTCTTATATTTCTTGACATATAGAAATACCGCAATAGTCAGGACCAGGCAGAACACGGAAAGAGCTCTTAATGCTTGGTCTGCCGAAACTACAGTCAAATAAAATTGTATATATGTATATAATATATTTTTCAGATGCTTTGCAGATGCTATCACTTCCATTCGATATCTTACACGTTATTATATTTACTCGTTCGGGTAGGGGCAGAACTTTGGCCCCGATGCTGTATTCCCTATTCTTGTAATCTTTCTTGAACGGGAACCAGCAATATTGCTGTTTTGTGAAGCTCATGTTATTTCCGAGGACGTATAGCACATCATTCTATAAAAAGAGAGTATCACAATATCTTCAGTCAACAATTTTTATATTTTCTTCGTGAATGAGTATAACTTATAAATACTCCCTGCAAACCTCAAATAAAATCCACCAATTTTCCGTATCACTCTCGCTGAATGCTCCACATGGGTTTTTATAGGCTACTTGCACAACATAATCTATGAGTATATCCTTCTGCACCACCTGACCGTTGAGAAGAGTTATATTCAAAAGTCGAAAATCAAAGGTGTTTGGGTACTCACAACAAAAAATTAAGCACGGTTTAATATGACAGACACAGCCTCGGATATTGTCATCAACTTCCTTAATTCCATCAAGGAATATTTTATCTTTGAATATTCCAGTTTTTTTTTTTTTTTTTTTTGAATTATAATGTCTCTATATTGAAAGGATCCGTTCGAGAGAGATCAAAATATAAACTGAGAGTTTAATTGTACGATTATGGAAAATAGAAATAAGAATTTATATTATGTAAAACCACGAAGTTTTGAGTGAGTAATATCTGGCTATGGGTTAAAAATAGATCGTTATACATATATGTATATAAAAAACAATTATAAGTGCTCGACTACGACATCCCGTGAGCCCTTCGTGAAACTATTCTCACATACGTACGCTCGCATAAGTTTGCGGCTGCAGATCAATAAATTTGATAATAACATTAATATTATGTCTTTGCCAAAACACAAGTCTCCAGTATTTGAAAAACGCTTTTGCTAAATTTATATAAAAAAAACATGATTCTAAATTTAAAACTTTGGCACTTTAACTCTAAAGATATAGGGGATATAATTTTTTACTAATTATACCCTGAACCCATTGGAAATGGGAAATCAGGGTATAATGGTTTTGTTGAAATGTATCTATCAGGCAGAAGGAGGCGTGGACAACCCCACACAGCATATATATTTTTGTTCAAGGCGACGAGCTGAGTCGATTTAGCCCTGTTCGTCTGTCTGTCCGTCCGTGTCCGTGTCGATTTAAGAAGATATAAGAGCTAGAGACTTTTTTTAGAATTTTTTTTTTTTTCAAATGTCCATATATACATACATATAGTGCGGACATCGAGTTTATCTCCAAAAATCGATACCTCTTCCCGTTATTTTTTTATCCTTTAAGATATTATCGAAAATAAGCTATTTAATTATATATCCAATATCTTTAAAGCTAGCTAGAGTCGCAAAATTTTATATGTGAATTCATGTGGACATCCACAAGAAAAGTTAGCAACCAATTAATTTCCCATAGTAAGCCCATACTGCAGCCCATGCGTGTTTATGCGAGCGTGCCTATATGTGTCTGTGTGTTTCTTGTGTAAGCAGAAAGACGCAAAGAATTATTAAAATATCAGTTGCTTGAAGGGTTCAGGGGATCTCATAGTCGAGCAGTATCGACTATAGCTTTCTTACTTGTTTTCGATTAGGCCTTTGGTTCCGAAAAAAAATATAAATAAATAAATGGGAGTAATTATCGATTTTTGGATTCGATTCAATGCAAATCTCTAAATATCTCGGCCCTTATACGGAAAAACGGACATACGGATTTGGCAAAATCGGACCATCTCGGCGTCCTGATCAAGAATATATATACTTTATGGAATCTTCTACTTCTCCTTCTGCCTGTTACATACATTAAACAAAATTATTATAACCTAATTTCCCATTTTCAATGGGTACAGGGTATAAACATATGTATATACATATATACATATATAGCAATAGGCAGCTATTTATATATATATATATATATATATGAGTATATATATATATATATATATATATATATATATATATATATATATATATTGTATATGAGCTTTATAATATTGAGATAGAGAGAGAAAGAGAGGTCTTCCTTATCTGTAGGATTATCATGTCATCTATACGTAAGCAATAGTTATTTGTCGAGATGAGCTATTTAGTTGTCTACGCTCCGTCAATGTGTCAAGATCGCAACATAGGCTCTTAAGATGATTGGACCCATAGCTATTGGACTTCTCATAATATTTCTGTGGACATTTACAATTCCTGTAATGGACAAGTGTTTTATCTATGCGATGCCAATTGAATTGGCTAGTATTATATGCGGCCGTTCCAAATCTACGAAAAGTATTAGTGAAAGTATACAGCTTAAATGGGTTGTTCTATCATAACCTTTGATACTATAACTGAAATTGTGTACAAATAAATAAAAGAGCCCAAATGTGTACGCGTACAAATATATGTATATATGTTATAAAGTTAATCGAATAGTTTTGAGAATTTTTTTTATTCCGTAGCAAAAAGATTGTGGTCCAACAATTGGCAAGGCTGGTAATGGCAGACCACTCCGGTACGCTATCCCACTACTGCCTACCACGGGAACTCTTGGCTGCTGGTTTTCACCCCTGGCCCGGTTCATCCCTCCTTAGCCAACCTGAATGCCGTGGACTCCTCCTCGGCACCCATATTGATGGCAAGCTTAGTGCGGACGTTCCGTCAACATGGCTGGTCCACTACACAGTGATCCCCAGCCTCAGGCCATCCCACAATCAGACCTCACAGAAGCGTGATTACAGAAGATGCCAACCTTCCAGTCGAAAGTTTCGTTTCTACAAACGCATTTTATGTCACATTGCTCACTGAACTGAACTGCACTGCTTTACCAATCAACTGCTTTCATCAAAAACTACTTTCTAACTGAGGCTATTTCGTTAAGAGTTCGATGGTTTGCATGGGTTGAATAATAATGAGATTTGTGATTCAGCATAAAAATAATAATATATCTGAAATGTACAAAAACGGGTATATAATTTCCAGTGACACGTGGCTGTAGTGTTTGAATAACACTGTTTTAAAACATGTGTATACTAGTACTGAACTGCTTTAAGCGCAAAAATTCAAAGTTGCTCTCTTAACACTGAACGTGAGTAGTTGCTTTGGTTTGCTTATTAAATTAATGGAAAATAATATATATATTTATAATAAAAATATTTTTAAAAAATTAAATAAAATATAGTTTTATATTAATTTAAAAAAAATCTAAGTAAAATAAGTTCGCCCGAGCAGGGACTTGAACCCTGGACCCTTGGATTAAAAGTCCAATGCTCTACCGACTGAGCTACCCGGGCATTCATGGTGTTGTTGCAAAGATCCAATTATAGTTTCTTTCCATGAAATCTTTGCAGGAATATTTAATCTATATAATTGTCTTATTTACAAATCGAATATTTTATGATTCATATCTGCTTAATAGTTAAATAAATAGTTTTAAGAACCCGCATTTGTTGTAGAGATGTAGGCAAGTTGAGTAGGTTTCATTCTTGTGAACTCCATTCTAGATTAATTATACAAAATTGAATGGATTAGTATAAGGAATATATGAAAATGATATTAAATACCGATTATAGGATAGCTTTAATCATCTTTTTCCTTACGACTGTTATAACCAATATAAAGACGCCTTGAGAGCTCGGTACGAGGTCTAAATAAGTCGAAGCATTACCAAACTCCGTGGTAAATAGAGAAGCTATATTATCTATGAACCACACCCCTGCTGTTGCAGCGAATAATCGGATAAGCAGCTCGAATCTTAAATGGAAATAGACATAATATGGCAGGCAATTTTATTTTTACTTACTTAGCATGATTTTCCACAGTTTTCCTACTATTGGAAATGTTCCCATTGCGTTGATTATACTTATTTTCCAAATATATTACTCTTGCAGTTGCAACGAAAAGTCCTATATTTATTAGAATGGCAACCAATGTTAGAGAATTGAAATAGATCATATCAGTAGCTAAAAAAAGTTACAGTTAAGATAGCTGATATATTTTAAATGTTAATATTTTTACTTTTCACCAAACAAACATATTTGATCACTTCAGGTTTTACATGTCTAGGAAGATCTTCAGATAAGTATCGATCAGCCCCGATGAAAACAGTAAGTAATATAGCATCAATGCTCCAAACGATGATACTATATTTCATGAAACTGGGTCTCTTTGTAACTTCGGGATGTTTATAGCTCTTCCATAGTGTCAAGTTGATCATAATGAGCCAAAGGAAGGTGGCCATAACGAAAAAATAGTGCACGTAGCTAATATTTAAGGGACATCGATGAATCTATATCCGAAGTAAGCGAAATTTGTGAAATTACCAAATGCAAGGCAAGATTTATGAGTGAAGTCATAGGAGGCGTTTATAATCGATTCAACAAACGCCCAGAAAATGTTTATGGCTGAGGAGCTGAAGTAACAAATGAAACATCGGTTGTACATCGTCTTATATTTCTTGACGTATAGAAATACCGCAATAGTCTGGACCATGCAAAACACAGAAAGAGACCTCGACGCTTGGGTTGGCGAAACTAGAATTAAATAAAATTTGAAATCCAGATCATATTCTTTTTTATAGACTTTCAGTTCAAATCGATATCTTACGCTTTGATCTGTATATTGTTTCGGGTTGAGGAATTAACTTGACAGCGAGTTTATAGTTGGCCGCATCGTTATCTTTCAACGGAAACAGGCAGTACTGCCTCTTATTGAAGCTATTGTTGTCTCTATGGACGTATAGCATATCATTCTATAAGCACGCAAGAATGTTACATTGCGAGAAAACGAATGGAGTTTTTGGAATTTACAACTGTAAATCTCTAGAAGATAAATTTTTACCCGAGTTGTATTATATAAAAAGCTTTGAAACCGATTTTTTATATGCAGGAACTGTTCTCTTCAAGATCGAAATATTAACTGAGTTTTAAATTGTACGATTTGTACGAATAAAATTATGAAAAATAGAAATAAGATTTTATATTGAGTATAACCACGAAGGCTTTGAGTGAGTAATACTTGGGTACGGGATAAGAATAGTTACCGACATAAATATTGGAAAAAAAAAAAACAATAATTATAATTCCAATCCCTCATCAGATGAAGGTATATACGAAGCTATATCATAAAAAATATGTCAAGAGGCGAGGTAAAATAACTTAGCTCTTGAATGTGAAGTTAAAAATTTTAATATAATCTTATTCTTTATTTATGGATATTAGATGTACGCTCCACAACTCGGTAAATTAAGAGGTATTATCTGCGTATGAATCTGAATGTCTGAATCTGAATGTACCAAAAATAAGAGTGTACCAAATTTTTGTTTAAAGACTGCTTTCTGTGTTGCTGTTTTGAATGTTAGCTGCTTGCTTGTGCTCTGTTGTATAACAATTTACTTTGCAAATGAGTAAATCACTGCTTGAATTATGGTATTGCTCCACATCGATGCACAGCTTGGTTAGAATCTGCTTTCAAACACACACTGCTTGGCATATTGCTATACAATAATATTTAAGACAAATAGCCCAACAAAAATAAAAGTCATTTTGGTGATTTTCAATAAAAAAAATATATACATATATTATGTAATTTAAAAAAAATATATATATATTAGTCCTGTTCGAATATAGAATGCAATAGTCAATTCATTACAAATACAGTTCCCTATGGTTTACAATAAAGTAGACGGAGATATCAAGAGTGTTTAAATCTTCAAATAAAAGACGTAAGTTTTGTACATTTTAAAATAGTTTTATTTTTATGTCATATTCGTACATGTTTACATATGTTGTCGCTTGTTTTGATTTATTTATAGTTGTATGCATTTGTGGTTTTACAGCTTATAAACATTGCATTCGCAATAGAACCCATATCATTACATAAGTACGGATCTCATTAAAAACTATTTATGTTATTTATTTTTTACATGGAATGCAGTTAAACTCTTTGCGCCCCCCTAGCCCCGTACTACAAACATTGTATTGCATTTTGATTGGAAAATCATAAAATATTTATATATGATATATATATTAAAAAAAAAAAAAAAAAAACAAACAAAAAACAAGTATATAATTTGTGCTAAGTATTTTTGCTTTTTTTTTTCTTACTTTTGTTTGTTTTCGTGTTTTAATGCGCGGGCTTTATTATTATTAGATTTTTGTTTTCTTGTTATAGTTTTTATTTTTACTAAAATTTGTCATGCTAATTCAATATAATTTAGGCTTATGGTCTAGGTTCACATAGACTACCGATAGGTTCTAAAATGCACTAACCTTAGCTTAGCAAAAAGTACAGCATAAATAATTACATTACATTTACGTATAGGTTTACTTTTTCTTCTGTTTTTCATCGTTGTTATTTTATTGTTTTTTAAGATTGATTTGTATTATTATTTTAGGTTTTAACAATTTGCGCATTGCTTAATTTAGGTTTCAAGTTGTAATGCACACTTAAGCTAGGAGACAATATGTTAAGGACTTGTTATAGTTCTTTTGATTTACAGACATAAGAGTGATACGATAATCGAATAAAAGATAACATTGAGAGAGCGTCTGGTTTGAGGCTTTGCTATAGAAATTGTGCTAAGTATTTGAAATTGAGCCACACTTTGCCAGCTAGCCAGATTCCCTGTTTCATCTCCGAATTTGTTCTCCAAATTGTGAAATGATTTTCGAATTAAGAAATAAACAAAACGAGCAAAGCAAAACTTACATCTTGTTTCTAAGTAGCTCTCGAGCCAAACAATTTATATATTTAAAAATGAAACACAAACATAATAAGGCGCCGATTGAGAGTGAGACGCTCTGCTATATACAAACTGAACGAAGCCTTATAGAGGACACAGATATACATACATACATATATATATGTATGTACCTAGATGCCATGTGCTGGTAGCTTTTAAGTACATGAATTAGAATTAGAATTAGAATTAGAATTAGGCATTAAACAAAAACTAATTTTAGTAGAAATCACTTTGAAATTATTGCAAATATTACGTTTGTTTCAAATTGGTTTTTGTTTAACCTATTTATGTTTTAGTTTTTGTTTTAGTTAGTTTGTTCGTCTGTGCGGACTTAGAGCTATAATTTAAACTAGACTTATGACTAATTGCTTTTCGAATACTGCTTAGAGAAAGAAGTTTATCATACTGGACGTCTCGTGGCAGCAGCTATCGAAAGTTAACTCCAGATCCTTGCCCCAGCTCCAAGCCCAAGGCTCAAGCTGTGTGTGTGTGAGCGTGTGTGTGTGTTTGTGAGTCGGTGTGTGTGTGTTGTGTGTCTGTGTGTGCAGGCAGGTCTAGAGAGAACTAGACGAGTGCGCACAGTTCCACCTCCAGTATCATAAACCCAAATGAGCCGCGCTCCAGCTACGGCTCATTTCTCAGCTTAACACGAATCAGTTGCAAACAAGAAGCATCGTCTTTGATGTTGGTCGATCGACAGCGGCGGCGGATTGCGGATGCGGATTGCGGATGCGGATGCGAATGCGAGGCAGTGGCAAATGGCAAATGGCGCAGGCACCGGCTCAGCAGCAGAACAAATTACAGCCAACAATGTCCGCTTTGTACTCCAGCTCCAGACCCAAATCTGAATCGGGCTCACAGTCCGAGTCCAGCAGCGGATCGAGTGATTGCGACTGTGTCTGCTGTGACTGCTGTGACTGCTCTGACTGCTGCTGCTGCTGCTGCTGCCTGATGATAACCTGAGATCAGAACTCTTGAGGATATTTAATGCAGTCGGCATTGGTATTGCTGGCATTGGCCACCGCCGCGGCGGAGCTGAACAGCGAGTTGGGACCGTTGCCGGTGCCAATGGTGCTGCCAGGTCCGCCGTTGGCATTGGCGCCGACGTTGACGCTGCCCAGCACCGATGCCGATGCGGTCGGATCCAGAGGGCCCTGGGACTGATAGCCGCCGGCCACGCTGGCCGCTGCCGCCGCCTGATATGGTTCCTGATACAACTGATTGAGTCTCTAACCAGTACCCGAAAAGTGCCACGCGTCCTATGCGCTCAGATGCGCAAACTGTGACGGATGGATATCGAACTGGTGATAGGGATGGCCGTAGGGGCCCATGTGGTATGGCACAATGTTCATCGATGCCATTTTGTGCTCCTTCTTCCACTTCATGCGCCGATTCTGGAACCAGATCTTGATCTGTCGCTCCGTCAGACAGAGCGCGTGCGCGATCTCAATGCGTCGCCGGCGCGTCAGGTAGCGATTGAAGTGGAATTCCTTCTCAAGTTCCAGTGTCTGATAGCGGGTGTATGAGGTCCGTTGTCGTTTCGTCTCGCCATTGGCATTCACAGTACCTGCAATATCGAAAGGAAAGATCCTGCGTGAGTAAATAGTGAAATGGGGTTTTCTTTAGAGCTTAACACTAATCGAAATAATCTTTGATATCTGATTAAACAAAAGTTCATTTAATATTAATCTATATTGTTGGCATAATGCGTATTAATTATATATAAAATTTTAAAAAATATAATATATACTAATATAATTTATAATAATATAATATTATTTATCACATTCTTAAGTAAAAAGTGATATTGGGGCTTTTCGGAGAGGGTAATAGAAATGAAATAGAATAATGTAAAATATTTTTGCATTATTATCATCATCATATATCATATATTATTTATTTATCATCTGGCTAGATATAACAAATAATGCATAAATCATTTTCTTGCGCACAATCGATATAAATCATTTTTATCGTCATCATCATTATCGTTTTCATAAACTTTATCGACTATCAGTAACATCAATTCTCTTATTATTATCATTATCGTCATAATTTGTAAATAATTGATTTCCCATAATGACCCGCTGACTTAATAATTTATTGAACATTTAGAAGAATTATGTTCTTTAACGAAAATGATATGCATGCCATTTTTATTACTTCTAAATTTCTTAGCAATTTATCGACATAGATATCATTTAAGTGCAGTTTTTATTGTCATCATTATCATCGTTATCATGAGCATTATCATTAGGAGTATAATTATCAGTACTATCAGTATTAATCATCAATGTAAATCAATCAATCTGACTTAATAATTTATTGAACATTTAGAACAATAATTTGCTTAAACGAAAATGATATGCATATGGCATTTTTATTACTTCCCAATTTTTGAGCAATTTATCGATATGGATATAATTTAGGACAAGTTGCTCTCGTTTACTCGATATCGTTCGTCGATGTCTTATTTCACAGCTTTACACTTCGTTCCGATGGGGTGTTTGTGGTGAATCGTGAAACATTGAAGTGGACAAGGCACCGCTGAGGCAGTTAATTTGCTGGTTTTCTAGTTTTGTTTTCTTGATTTTCTGCAACGTTGCGCATTTCATAAATATGACGTGTCAAGCGGCAATTTGGGCTTCACTGCCAAAAAGATTTTTCATTTTATTGTTGTTAGTCGAAAAATCAACAATAACAGAGCAGCAGAGTAGCAGAGCAGCCGAGCGGAGGGGCAGGCGCGAAGCACGACAAGTATCACTCTAGACTATATAGGCTATATGGACTCCTAGAGCTCTAGACCTTAGACAGCTGTCGCTGCTTGCCAATCGAGGGTTGGGAACGCTGCTCGATTTCACTGTCTTCCACCCACTGCTGATGGCCATAGATAATGACAATTTCCGAGTTTCATTCCGATCCTCCTACCTCGCCAGCGACTATTGTCATCTGTGGGCCTGCCCGAGGGGGCGTTCGTAACGCGTCGTTCATAATGAGGGGGCGGACTGTGGCAAAGTAGACTTTTAAAAGCCATTTACCGTGGCGTGTTATTATGGCCAACTCAATTGGCCCGCCCGGTATTCAACAACAATAAACAGCAAGCCAAAAAAAAAAAAAAAAAAAAAAAAAAAAAACTTTGAGAATGAAACAAACACACACACGCACACACACAGAGAAATCTGTGGCAGTCAGTCAATGTGATAGACAGGCCAAGTGAGGAGCGTTTCTGTCAGCAGCACTTTGGGAAAGCCGACAAATGTTCGCTTCTGGACCCCTCGCACGCCCCAATGAACCTATATGGGTCATGGCCCATTGCTGAACGGCAATTGGATCTACAAACTTGCTGTCGCATTTCGTTCATTTGCATTGCTTGACTGCAAATGCTCGACCCGCTGCTAAGCGAGATGCCGGACTTTCAAATTAGTTCAACAGATTTGCTCAAGGTCTACGTAAATATCTATAGCACCTAAA